AAACTATTTCCATATCGACGTAAAAATAAAATAAGGGTAGGTGTGTGTTTAATAATGCAGGATCGTGCTGCTACTGGCATCTAACTGAACCAAGTCGAAGTTTTTCATGACATCACTAATGTATTCTGTCTATGAATATTATACTCCGAACAGTTAACTACACAATCGGGCAGGACTACGACGACCGACGAGGACGACCAGGACGACGATTACAGAAAGACGTAGTCGAGTGTTGTAATAAAAGCCGTACCATTGACACTCACCAGTGACCTTTAATTCAATTTCAAACTTGACCTACATTAGCCACTTGATTAATTCAGTTTTATTAAACGTGAAATTAAAAACAACGGACGTTTAACTGATATGACTTTTTAATGAACGAATCTGATATCGACGTATAAAGTGCAGATAAGAGCGTATTAAACGAAAGGTCCTGAATGTGGTAACAATGAAATTGCCGTAATTTATCACCAGCCTTCTTGATTACAAATGAAGCTTGTTCTGCTTTAATCCGAAATCAATTTAATTAAATACGATATTAAAAAGATAAAGAATGCAACTACAATCGAAATATTAGATACTCATTTAGGTTCAACTCGTAAATTTAAAAAATGTACCTAAGGAACGATTAAGTCTAATTAAATTCCATTTACCGATAGAAAACATTCATTTAGTTAATTATAATGTGAAATAATAAAATAATCACCACTATACTCAAAATAATGTTACAATCAGTGGCGGATTATCCATAAGGCAAAGTAGGCATATGCCTAGGGGCACAAGGTTAAAAAGGGGCGCGCGCGGAAGTTTTTAAACCTAAAAAAAAAAAAAATAAGGAAGTACCTAATAAAAAAAAATTGTTGCTNTTTGAAGTAGTGTGGCATTCATTTTTTAACAAGTAATACTAAAAATTAAAGTCTTCCAAGCATTAAACCTCTAAAAGCTGAGATACGCGAATATATATATAAATCATTAAATAAACTACTTTTTCAAAATTCCTGCATAAAACATATTTTTTCCAACTTTGTAAAATTTTTCTTACCAATAGCAAAGAACTTAGTTATTATTTGTGCATTTAAATAAATTTTATTTATTTTAAGAAAAAAAAGTAGTTTTTATTCTGTTGCTTTCAGTAAGAAAACTGGCCTAACTTCTAACAGTCGGACAGACTTAAAAATCATAGGAAACGTTCAAGAATTCGGTCATTTCTCATGTTTTTCCTGTACAAACCAAGTTTGGGTTATCATAAGGTATTATGAATCGCCAATGCTCAAGAAATAAACATACGAACACACCTACGAATACTACATTCGACTAGAAATAAATACATTAATACAAAAATGTATATACCTAATACTTTATATTATTATATTTGCATTTTCTATAGTCTGCTTTGTTTTTGCCAATTGACTTCCTCTCTTGGAATCCTTTTTGAAACCAGACATTTACTATATCTAAGTATGACAATGTCTATCATTTGTTACCGAAGGCGGCCATTTTGATTTCCATTGTTATCCCATTGTTACTGTAGTCGGCCATCATTAAATTCAATTGTTGTCACATTGTTGCCGGAGTCGGCCATTAAAAAATTTTGATTGGTTATCGTTGACGGCCATTATGGTTTTTCGAATGATTGAATGAAAATACGAGGATAGAAAAAATAACCTTTTGATATCAATAATTTAATTAATAAAAGACGAAAATGCTTTAATGTTTTAAAGTTTATTTATTGAGTGTAGCTACGATTCAGAAACTAACTGCAGTAGTAATAATTCTAATTAAATTTGGGAAAATTTGATGCAATCATGGAAAATAGAAGATAATGTTCTTAGAATTCAAAAAATCTTGATGGAGTTAGTTTGTTCAACATTTTCAGGTTGAACCCTACTGAAAAATAAAATCTGCAGCCCCGGTTTCCAGCAGGTACTTCAAGAAAATATTCATAACTGTTTGATGTTTCCAAGTTTGGTTTGACCCGGCGCCTTCACCAAAACTGTAGTAACCTTTTTTATTATGTGATACACTTAAGTTAGGATTAAATTGTCTGTATATAGAAAAAAAGTACAAATGTCTACATTATAGAAAAATTAAGAAAACAAAAGTCATTTCTACCCAGCTCTGAGTTATTGTACATATTATTGTAAAGCCCAAAAGATTACTTTTTACACTAATTTATGATAATCTGCAGTTCATTTTCTAATCCAAAACTCATACTTTTCCCATATCTGCAAATACTGAAAAATTCTCACAAACACGTCTGAAAGCATTTCTTCGCTTTTTTGACTTTCTGAGTTTTTTTATAGTTTAAAGATACCGTTTCATTTTTTTACTTCAATGAATAGATACTACGACGTATTAATTAATAGAAAATTTACATAAACAAATTGATTAACATTCAAGTAATTTCTTATAATAAAAGTCTAATGTAATAATAGCAGTTATACAAAAACTATGATCATTATACATCAGTAATAATTACTTCTTAAGGAAAATGAAGTAGGTATCTACTATATTTAGTGAAAAATTAAAATTAGAAAAAACAAAATACTTAACAAATAGTTGTGTAGAATTCAAATGCACTATGAAAATGCAAATGCAGATGCTGGGATAGGTCATCGTTTCATATTCATAGGGATGTGGTTATCAGCATAAATTTTACGTTACTTGCATTTCGTTAATTGAATTTCTTCTCCACAAAGAACAATCTTATGGTAAATACCTTGTCGTACACCACGCACGTACGTAGGCAATTTCTAAAGAGAAAATGTCATGCAATTTATACAAAGAAAGTGTCATGCAAAAGACTACTCAGTTCCTTTGTCATATTTATAATGAGATTTAATTTCTTGATGAAACCAATATTTAACTAGCATTTTATTTGTTTTAATTCCCTTATAGCTGCCCGTTATATTTTTCTAATTAATTTTTGTTTAAATTGTATATAGTAGGGATATACTCGCCTTCGATAAAAAGATGTCACTTCTATGCTCGCAAACAGTTAATTTAGAAACTAAAAAAGATTGTTAAAGGTGTATGTTTGGAGCGCGGTGCTATACGGGTGCGAAACATGGACGGTGACCGCGGCGGAAAAGAAAAGGTTAGAAGCGTTCGAAATGTGGTGTTAAGGCAAATGATGAGGATACCGTGGATAGAGAAGGTTAGAAATTAAGAGGTATTAGAAAGAATAGGCGAACAGAGGAGTCTCTAGAAGTGAATAGGAAACAGGCGAGAGGTTGGTAGGACACCTTCTCAGGCAACAAGGTCTAGTCAGAGACATATTAGAGGCAGAAACAGAAGTTAGTAGAGGTAGACCTAGATTAGTTTTCTGTTCGCAAATAGTTAAGGATGTGGTATGTTCTAGTTTTGGGGAAATGCAAAGATTAGCTCGGGATAGGAAGGAGTGGAGATGCGTGTCCAACCAGTCTTAGGACTGACGACCTTATAATGATGAAATTTTATATATCATGCGGGTTCTCATTTAAAAGGTTCTGCTATGAAGAATACAGAGTTATCTATTGATCATTCAATAACATTATCTATTAAAAGGTATTTTTAAAATGCTCATTACACCTTTTACCTAATATGTTCGAAGCTACTGGACCGTACATTGCCTTAATGCCTGTTCTATCGTAACCTACGGTCAACTCTGACATAAAAAACATCAAGTAAAATTAGTATTAGTCCAACAAATTAAACAAACTATACGCATTGTCACAATTTTTATACGTTCATGGGGTAGGACTCCACAACGTGCGAGTCACACTTGTCCGATTTTCACTTATTTCCAGTCACCAAGTTGTCAAGTACAACAGAGTTAATTAAGCTAGACGTCTGTATACTATGAACAAACTAAACTTTCAGTTATTGAGACGAATGTCCACTAGTTTCAAAAATTGATGTTTCTCCGTTGCTGTTGTGCGACTGATTTAAATCTTCGATGTTTTCAGTATTTGCCAATTGTATTAGCTGTAGAGATGTTGCGTTCTACAACTAATCCGGTGGGTATAAGAGAATTAGCCTTCTACAAAACTAAGGGAAAAAGCCACTTAGTCTGCTAAAAGTAATTCTCAGGGACAAACAAAAGTTTTGCGTTTATTTTGTTTTTATAATGTGAATAGCTGTTTTTTTTTTTGAAGTGAAACTTCTTTACGCACGGTAGGGTAAGTTCGTTTCATGCGAGTTGTTATGTAACTACATCATGCAACGGATGTCCCCCTTCTACTCGGCCACGTAGTCGAGTTCGTAGTGGGGATCGCTTGAGCCGTGAGCGTTTTTCAATGCAACGTTCGTTACAGGCAACTCCGGCATGTATAGTGTAAAATTTAAATTCATAGTGTACAAATAATACCATTNCTCGGCCACGTAGTCGAGTTCGTAGTGGGGATCGCTTGAGCCGTGACCGCGCTTCAATGCAACGTTAGTTACAGACAACTCCGGCATGTATAGTGTAAAATTTAAATTCATAGTGTACAAATAATACCATTAAACCAATTCCTTAACCCCTATCCCGGTATGTTTGTGTGTTTGAAGAAGTTTCACTTCAATAGCGTGTTGTATAATTACACGAATTTTTTTTAAGATCACATTGTCGAGATTCCATTGCATATAGAAGTAGATAACAGAAATATTAGAATACTTTGATAATTTAACTAACTTGGCGCGTTCAAATCCTAGCGAATTTGTAACGTAGCTTTCACAGTAATCCTGGAAATCGACAGTTAACATATACTACGGTACAGGTAAAAGTCCGTCTGATAACTTTTTGATCGCACTGTGTACAGAGAACTTCTTCAATCGTAAAGACTCACAATCAGTGCCCAAGTGACTAAACAATATAACTATACGTATGTATACTCGTATGTAAGCAGGAATAACATTGGTGCAATTTGCATGTATGAACGGACCCGATGAGACTTTAATGAAGTGCGACATGCAATTACGAGCAAGTAAACATACACACAAGGTTGAATGAGATTATAATGACTATTGTTGACGCTTACCTTACTCTCACAGACTTTGTGGCAGACGTACTTGCACACTGAAACAAAACAATTAGCGTTAAGTCATCTTCTGCAACAATACAATACAATTATAGTAACCAACAATAACAATAAGAAATTGTAATTCAATTTACGTTAATTTCATTCCAATCACATAAAAAGAAACAACATTAAAAGACTGCCGGCATAATAATTATTTATTGTAATGAATGATATTCAGCAAAGTAATTGCATTTGAAGTTTTCATTGGATGAATACCCTAGACAAAAATTTTCAGTTTCTCTCCAGTCTCTCATAGTCTTTCAGCGTCCCTGAGAGCGTCTCCCACAGTCTTTCACCGTCTCTCAGTTATTGCCTAGGTGTTTTTATGGATCTCTCACAGCCTCTGTATGAGAGACTCGAACGATAAAATTGTTAATTCAGAGATTCGAGTCTTTCATAGAGAGACTGAATGAATAAAACTGAAAAATTGAAAGACTCAAATTTCTCGTAGAAAAACTGGGGTCTCTGAAATATGTTGAACTTAGACAATTTTAACCATGTCTATCGAGACACCATTTATTGAGAGATTCGAGTCTCTCGTTTAGAGACCGGATACGAAATGAGGATCTCTCTATGAGCGACTCGAGACTCTCGTTCAGAGACGTTAAACAGTTTTTTTGACAGTCTCCGCGACACCAGAGAGACTCGATGAGAGACGGAGACTCGAGCCTCGCTTTCAGAGACCCTGAGAGACTGAACATTTTTATCTCGGGTAATTTTCTCGAAATAATTGGGAAATACTACCTTAATTACGTAAAATTTAAAATGTTCTTTAACTAAAACTCGATTTTGTCATAAATTATATTATCAGACTACGTCGAAGACAAAAGGGATGGATAACGTTTTCAATACCAAGAACTGTATTCTTCTTGAAAATATTGTATAAATTTAACAACATAAATGAGGAATTTAGAACAGTTATAGTCATGTTATAATACTAGAAATGTAGTCGTTTAGTTAATCCTTAAACTGGAAGGTATCTATTTTATTGTTTATAGTACACAGAATTTCACAAGGAATTTCAGTTGTAATACTAACAAATGATCACAAAAACTGTTACTTGCTCTTTTACCTCAATATTGTTTTAAAATTCACAAGCATAATAAAATTAAATTCATCTAAATCTAGTAAAAATACAATGACAACATTTATTATTAGACCCAAAAAGTATTCTTTAAAAGAATAACAATACATTCAAATTAACAATATAATTTAACAAAGTTATGTGCCTAAATGTACAGAAACCTTTCAAAGTTGAAGCCTTTTCTACTGTTATTGGTTGTATGCGTATATAAATAAGAAATCGATTGCGTTTCGCATATCACTCAAGGTTCCGAAGCTTTTCGGATTCCCTTGTATTACCTCTCAAAAACGTTTTATCGTATTGCCTATTGCCAGTGAAATTTCTGGGTCAACGCTACAAATGATTTGCAACTCCTCTGGGTTCAAACATGATGCCGTTGCTTGATATAGGACGCTATTTCGAGATTATCAAAACGTCTTCGTGATTTTGAATTCAGTCTGACGCCGTTACACATATAAATTGCATAATTTCCAGGGATGTTTTAATCTTATTCCTTTAATATTACTCTATTTTTAATAAAAATGCGGAATAATTAAATAAAATTGCCCTAAATGCGATTTATTAAACATTAAAGTTCTTGCATGATGACATATTGAATGTGGTAATCGCCTCCACCATTTTTAACCAAAAAGTTGAGGTAACTAAAAGTAACTGAAGACTTCACTTATGTTCATTAACAATTAAACAATGTTTTTTAACTAAATTTTTACTTTAACATTTATATACTTATTCGTAATATTTCACTAAAATTTTCACATAATTTTTTTTCCCGCTACATTTCCTCTTTGAACTCGCAGTTTTTCCTTTGATGGAAAATATACCTGTCCATTAATGTTTTGATTAATATTGACGTTACTTCATAACAAATATTTCACATTTATTTGAATGCTATAGATATTGGCATTAAAAAGCGTTTTTTATTATTTTATTTTTGAAAGTGCAGGTAGACCGTATTCGTCCTGAAAATTGTTTATGAAGATTATTACCAGATTCTTATGCAAATCCAAGAAATCCTTCAAAAGCAGTGACTTTATTACAAGTTAAAGGTTTTGGTTTGAATTAGTGATCATCAGTGAAATAGAAATCTTTTTCACTATCTATACATTTTATTATTTCATCATCATCATAAGGTCGTCAGTGCTATGACTGGTTGGACACGTACCTCCACTCTTTCGTATCTTGAGCTAAACTTCGCATTTCCCTAAAACTAGAACAGCCCACATCTTTAACTATTTGCGAGCAGTAATCTAATCTAGGTCTACCTCTACCCCTCCTAACTCTTGTTTCTGTCTCTAATATGTCTCTGACTAGACCTTCATGCCTAAGAAGATGTCCTACCAACTTATCTCGCCTATTTTTTATTGACTTCCATAAAGTCCTCTGTTCTCCTATTCTTTCCAATACCTCTTCATTTCTAACCTTCTCTATCTGCGGTATCCTCATCATTCGCCTATAATAACACCACATTTCGAACGCTTCTAACCTTTTCTTTTCCGCCGCGCCCACTGTCCATGTTTTGCACCCGTACAATGCCGTGCTCCAAACATACACCTTGAACAACCTTTTTCGAATTTCTAAATTAGCCGTTCGCGAGCATCGAAGTGACTTCTTTTTATTCAAGGCGACACGACCCTGCGCTATCCTCTGCTTTATATCCTTATTACTCCTTCCATCTTGACTTATCTGACTTCGTAGGTATCTAAAATCAGCCATTTCTTCTAATTTTTCGTCTCATATCTTCATATTCGCTCTTTCCTTATTTTTTCTTCCCTTGCAAACCAGTATTTTAGTTTTACCTTTACATATAGTACTGATCTGTCAGTGGCGCTTCCATTTTATTTAAAGCTATCTCTAGGTACTCCTTGCTAGATGCTAATACTGCTATATCAATTTTATTATTTATTGCAATATTTTTTTATAGTTAGTTGTCGGTAGTGGCTTATTATATAATGAAATTATTTAATTACAAACCAAAAATTAATACGACTTTAATACAGAGTAAATGTGTAAGAAAATCTGCCAATCCCTCATCACACTTTTGCTTGGGTCTCCACTTTAATTCGTACAGACACAAACTAAAAAAAAACAAAAACGATAACAATATGCTTTTGTCATTCTTTCACAGCTGAATGAATAGTCATTAATGCGGGAGATGATTTTACATCGATGCCCATGAGTTGAAAGAAATAGGCACGTTCGTGCGAAGATATAAAGATATAAAAAAAAATAATAGTCGAGGAATTTGAGTACAACAACAATCGAAGGAGTGTTCTTGAATTAGCCGGGCATCATTATAGAAGGAGGGACATTTTCGTATTCCATTTACCACGTACAATTATGCTGCCGTTGTAATGTAAACGAATGATTAATAATTTATGCTGTTTAACCGTAATCCCGACTCGCTCACTCATGTTCAGATCATATATGTATATGCATGTGTACTACATGTACCTACGTGTGTAGATGTACACACAATTATGCGCGTACGTCGAACACGTACATACAAATGTACCTACATGAAATAACATATGTAAGTATACGAAGAACCAGGAAACGGTGTGTAACTGAAATCGCAAACCCTGCTTTGAAAGCACCTTTGACGTTATAAGAGAATAAATTAAATTCTGATACGTAAGTAAAGAAATTGTTTTTTTTTTTTTTTTTGATATACAAGACGACAAGGAAAATTAAATTTACATTGTATCTTCTATGTGAAACCTTAGCTCGTAAAAATTCGGCTCTAAAGTTTCATACAAATTCAGCAAGATATTGACGATAGGAATTTTAAATAAATTTACGTCAAGTATCAAATTATTCTAAAAGCAAATGTAGTTAATTTTCATCGTTCGTTCCGCGGGATAAAGACGAAGAAGGGTTAACAAACGACGCCTTTAAATATATATATTAGGAGAAGATTAGAAGAAGTCACAAATTCATTTAATTTTAATCCGCTACTTTCACGTCGTCTTCGTCTGGAATCGAATACTTTTGGATTTAGACACCAATGCAACAACATTGTCGAATTAATGTATACATGTATATTAATATCATATGAAATACTTTAAGAAACTTTTAATAGTTGTTAATATTTAATATTAACGTTAAAATTCATTTAATTTTTATTCACTCTCTGACAATTGAGCTACGAGAGGATAAAAACTAAATGAATTTTCAGTTTAATAATAAATATTAACCACTAATAAAAGTTTTTTAAAGTCTTTCATATGGAATTAAATTAAAATTTTTAGTATATCT